CATTCCTGTTTCCAGGAAAGAGGCAGATTTCTTCATTATGGGAAAAGGCTTTAGAAATGTGCCTTTTCAGTAATGTAACGGGCCACAGGCTAAATATGTTCTATGTTTTTGAGATAACAGACTTCTGCTTTCAAGTCTGAATTTCATCTCATTGTGTCCAGCCTGAAGCAGAACCTCATTCTGCATTCCAGGTGTCATTGCTCCAACCCTCGGAGATAAAGCAGGGCTGCCCATCTCTGCCTCTTCCTCACAGCTGACTGGGACACGATGCATCTTAGCACAGAGGCCACTCCAAAAGATGTGAATTATTTGAGCCCTCAGCACTGCATGATGTGCTTGATATTAGGGGCTATTTAAAGAGAATTATTCCTGTGGGAATTAAGCAGTCCTTTGGTTTCAAAGACTGATATTTGGGGGGGACAGTGAAAGAGAAAAAATAGCAGAAGCCAATTCCTTTTTGATGCCACTTTTGCTCTCCAGGAATCAGAACATTTCTGAAGTGTTCTCCCTGTTCTGCATGCCATCAGAAAATGTTAGGCCCGAGTAGATGCTCGGGACAGTTACATAAAATGAATGTGGCAGCAACAGATTAATGGGTAAGTTCAAATCCTTTCTAGAATATGCAGATGCAGTATTTATTGTCAGATCAGGAAAAGAAACAGAGCCTAACTATGTGTGTGAGGGAGAAAGCTGACAGTTTGGTGCCTGCTTTCCCTCATGGCGGCCTGACAGCAGGATGACAGGCAGCAGAACAGCCTGGCAGCCTCAGGTACCTACCTCAGGTGCGTTATTATTGTCAACTGGCCCATTGAGGTCTGAACGCTGTTGCTTCCTGGGTTGCTCTAAACCATTGCACATCTGTAAGAAGAAAAAAAAAGAAAGGATTGCAAATCTTTTTATCTTCTGAAAAGCTTCAAAATAGAGATTTCAGTGGAAGTCCACAGCACAAAGGTAGTCAGAAAATTTTCACCTGATTAAATCACATTGAGAAAAATGTAATAAAAATTCATAAAATATTAGCATTTGAAACTGTATTTAGCATGTTACCCAGTATTTTACTATAGTCATTGGTCATGAAGCTGTTCTGTGTAGTTATTTATATGTATTTATATGCAGTTAGGTCTGTGCAATCAATATTCATTACTGTTGCTGAAATACCATAACATGATATAATAGCTGGAATTTCCTATTGTAACATAGCAAATAGGAGAGTCATAAAAATGTTGAGCTGTTTAATTGCAATAAAATATCTAATTATATACATAATAAGACATTTCAATTATCATTAAGTAGCAATTAAGTAGACAAGGCAAAAATTCAAGCAAGTTGTAAGCAGGATTTTAGGAAAGACTGTCTGAGATACACACAGAGCACCAAGACTTGGGAACCCACTGACTACGTGGCTGCAGTAGCTAAGCAGCTTCCATAGCCTGATTATAAATGCTGTTCTGTTTGAGAGATGGCAAATCTAATTGTATTGCACGGCTAAGCTAAGATGGAGCAATATGTGTTGATGTGCAGTGAAATATATTAATGAGGAAAACAAGTATCTAGAGGGTTTTAATAAAACAAGCATAATATATTAGTCCATAAAATAGTAGGATTAGATCAAGTATGCTTTAAGCAGGGAAAATGACATGGCCACAATGAAGATACATTAAACAGTGATAGCATATTATTAACTCCAGTATGTACAACAGGATGTTGATAGTTTTAAAGCTCTGTCAGTTCTAATTACCACAAACTTGACTGAACTGAAACTGCCCCTGCATATAGAAAGAATTGGTTGACTTGGTTTAGTAAGCATACCCTGGGTGCCATAAACATCATTGCAACTTTTCTCTGTCACAAATCTTACATGTTGATGGACTTCTTCAAGGCAGGAGATCATAATACCAATCATGCTCTTCAGTAATAGCTGCATCTATAATTCCATACAGTCTTAATATAAAATATTACTATACACTTGGATGACATTTCTTTTTTTTTTACATATAGCTGTCATTTACTGGAGTTCCTGTTTTCAGGATTTTAGGAATATAAACCAGCCTTTCTTGTTTATTGTTCCTAGTCACATATGTAGTACCTATGTGCCACATATATAGTATACAGGCTGTTTTTGTGTATTTGCTGCGTTCCAAAGAGAAGTGAAGTCTGCAGAATACATGACAAGCTGGGATCAATCACATCACCTGTACAAGGAATATAATAAAAGTTTTTACTTACTATTTGGTGTCTGTACATTTAATACCTTCCCTCCCACCCCCATGTTTCACCTGTGTGCTTAGGAACCCAAGCCTAATTAAGCTTCTTTCATGCACATCTGTGCACATGGTATGTTCCACATCTGGCTGATCTAGTAACTCTTTGTTCTTTAGAAGTGTTGTGATGGGGAGGGTGTCACTGTGCGCACTTCCTCCAGACAAAGCTGAGTGTAACATCACATTCTTGAGAATTACTCAGCTTTGGGATGTAGAACACCACGGATGTCCGTTCATCAGCAGCCTGAGGTGCCAAGTAGTAAGTGGAGCTGTGCCTGCCTGAGACTTTCTGTGCCCAGCATTGGCCAGCAAATTCGTGGGTTGTTACATGGACCCTTTTAAAAACAAGACTTGAGCTATTCATGCTACATAAATGTT